GCGGCCAAACGGGTGGGAATATCACTCATTCTGTAATCCACTGCGCTCAGATCAACTCACAGCTCACTTTAAAGCATACATGCTCTCTATTTGCATTTTGCAGCGGTTGCATGTCGTCAAATAAGGACAAACGATGTGAGTTCAGCTACGTTTGGCGAAACAGACGGAAACATAATAAAAAGAGGGCGGGTGGAGTTATTAGAAAAACTAAAACGAGAACATTCCTGGCAACGAGGGCGCTCCGTACATCACACGGCTAGAACGCCCGCTGCTCGCTACATCTGCGCCTTTTGACCACTTGCCACATTGACAAAACTCACCCGCTGAGTGTTTCATCATCCCTCACAGCAAGTGCCTTCGCCGGGCCAAGAGCACGGAGGCTCTGCTATGTACATCCAGATGTCACTGTGGACTCCCGGGTTCAACAGGTGAATATGAGACACAATAAGCGGGGGGAGGGGGGGGGGGGCTTTGCTGGATCTCTTTGACTGTGGACTTTGTGAAGCAAAGTCAGAGAATTTGTCTTCATTTGTGCTCTTTATTTCCCCGCGAGGCCCCCGGCGTCATGCGTCAAACTGCGGAGAGCATTGAGAGAAAATACCTGACAGGAAGGTTATCCGCGTACCGACTGTAACATTCCTCTGCTTTTGCTCACGCCGTGTCCAGCAGAAGGCAATAAAACATGCACTCAATAACACTAATTAGCTCCAGAAACATTCCTCTTAAGGCGAAACAAAAGACTGCGTACGTTCCCCTCCACGCGTGAGCGAGCGCGTGCACGTGTTGGTTCACCGGGAGCGAATACAGAAGCGATTTAAATCAGACAGGCAAAGAATAAAGAAAGCCAGGGAGAATGACTATTAGCCTGCTCCCGTCTCACAGGGTCCCAACCCTCAGGTTGAGCGTGTCTTGTTAAAAATACAGCGCTGGTGTTCATAATACTTATAAGACTTATTCACAACCAAGTTGAATAGCGTTGGCGCCAGTTTTTGCCTTTCCTCCTCTTTTTGAGTTTTTAAGTTTAAGCTGTTGTTCAATTACTGTTCTCCTCTCATGTGCGCGAACTGAGACCCACGAATAAGCCCATCTTTAGTCTTGTTTAATGGACTATACATAGACTAAAGGTTGCGTATTTTTGTCAGTGCCGCTGCAGCTTTAATTGTCCTCATGTCGCTGAATCCGGATCAGACCGGCTTAGTTCAGGGTCGTGGTTTGCAGAATTACACCGCTACTACAGTAAATCTCTCGCTTTAAGTCCACCAGATTTAAATATTCCTGCGAACAACTGACATTGAAACCGAAGATTTGTGTGTAAATTTCAAAACACACTCTGCTCTGGTCTTCTGTCCCCCCGAGTCTCTCAGCTCGTTGTGTTGCAAAAAACCTCGGGCTACCTCTGCTCTCCGGCCTCGGACCCGCTGGTTGCTTTGCATTTTCCCGCCTACGTGACTTATTTCTGGCATTCACTTCTGCGCCGTTATGGCAGCAGTCATCGCTCTCCTCCTGGTTGGTTGTCTCTTTGTCTTTCCTAATTAAATGAGCAGTAAATGATGTCAGCATGAGTTTCCTTGACATCTTCGCGCAGAAAGATCAGATATCTGCGCGGGTTTTTTTTCGTTTA